ATTTCTTATTATTGAATGATACACAGTATTATTAATTAAAATTGAATAAATATTTAATTTAAAATAAGCATTTTTATATTGTATGCATGGCGTCGATTATCAGCGGATAGTGTATATCAGATTCGGATTGAATTTCTGAGATTCCTAGTATAAGATAGACATATTGATAATTCCATCTATGGATTGGACTATTTGAATTTTGAGGAAAGTCGAGTTTATTACGACGGCTTTAGCCATCGCTATCCGTGTTTAAAAGATTTTGATATGCATGAGTGGACTTCACTCTGGTTTTATTGACCTGACGTTTGTCTAACATCAGACCGTGCCCCTGAAGATCGCGCCATTTTCCATGTACAGTAGTTAGATTCGAATTCACATTATAAAGATTAAAACTATTCTTAGTGTACTAAATACGGTTCGAGATGAAATCAATGTTCCACAAATTATTAAACTTTGACACTTGCAAGAACATCATCACTTACAAGAGAAAAAATCAAAACCATTACACGTTTATTATGCCATTATTTAAACATTCCGAATGTCCATTATCCTAACATTATGAAAGTCCATTGTCTCATTAGTTTACTAAAAATACAAAAAAATTTTTCAATGCCAAATTAATGATATGAAGGTTTTTGTCATAGGTTATTCCTCTTGTGTGTTGGTGTTATGAATTTTCTTCGTCTTTTACATTGCAAAGTTCGAGAACGTCTTTAGGGATGGTGAGCTTCTTAAATTCGCTAGGTGACTCTATCAACTGAGCCACCATGCCCATTTCGACGTGCCATTCGATGTGACAGTGAATTAGCCAAACGCCTGGATTATCGGCGTAATACCTGATTGCTGTTAAACTGTGGAAATCGAAGATTAATTAGATGCATTTGCGTTGTCGTGGTGATATGAAGAAAGAATTCTTACCTCTGTTCCTTAAGTGTCAAAGTATCACGAAAAACTGGATTGTTGAAATCATACTTTAAAGAACTGAGAGGTTGACTATAACTGCCCTCTTCACCTTGAGCGACAACCCAGAACGAGTGCCCGTGCTATTTTAAAATAATATTAAAATAATATTAATGCTATTATCGTCACAAAAAATAAAAAGTAAAAATTTCAAGCGAGCATGGTGATTTAAACTTGCCAGATGGAAAGGATGCGTTCGTCTTTCGGTGTTATTTAAAATAATTTCAACGGGTTGGTTCGGGACATCATAACTATACGCATTATCCGAGGTAACGAATCCGGCTCCTTCAATAACTTTTTCATTGGATGGATGATAAAAGTCCATGACCATTGAAGAGTTGTTGATTAATGCTACTAGCACGGGATTAGCTCTTACGCTAATTTCAAGAAGAAGACGCTTCGCGTAATCCGTCGGCACAGATGGAGTCAATGACACAGGATTTAAGGTGGTAGGGTCATGGTCCGTGCAATCGGATAAATCCGCTGGGTATGCCTCGGAAGTGGGAATGGTTTCTGGTGCGCCTTCGTAACGGAGAATACCGGTAATATTCATGTTATCAAACACACGAGTATTGTAATTGATAGTATCAGGAGAGCCACGTGGTATACTACAACTCGACATGTTTGCCCGAATCCAATAATTGCCTATCTGCTGATCGGCATTAATGATTACTGAATATCGTTGGGCGATATTAATTGAGAGCACTTCAACGGTGACCGGTTTAATTACAGTTCCCTCGACTTCGATAATAGTGAGTGGATGATTATCAATGGAGAACCTAAAATGAGCCATCGCGCTGGTATTGATTATTCTTAGTCTATACTTTTTGTCCTTTGTAACTTTATAGGTAGCAAATTTGGGGGGGTGTGCATTTAGGAATCGTGCAGCCATATTGTCCAACGCCGCTAATTTCTCCCGAGTCGGGCAAGGGATCATCACCATGATAACTTGCTGTGAAGTAAAAAAAAAAAAAAAAAGAAAAAAAAAATTAATTTAACTTACTTTCATTGGTTAGACACGTAAAAAAAAAAATAAAATAAAATAAATACCGTTGCGAAACAGTGGCACCATCCCAGGGTCATTCGTTGGCACATGGTACCAATCCGAAACTGTTACCACATATTCGTAATCGTATTGATTTTTGTACGGGTCATCCGGATCGTGTATAACAATGGGTCCCTTATGGAATTTTAAGGAATGTCAATGCTACGTAATTTTATCGCGGTTCCAGAACTCTATTAACGTAACAATCAATTTACCTTTAAGCCGTCAACATATTGTGCAACAAAATGAGAATGGTACCAAAAGGTTCCGGATTGTGTAACGTTGAACACATAGGAAAACTTTGCTCCGTTCGGAATTGGACATTGCGTGATTCCGGGAACTCCATCAAACCAATTAGTACCTCTCTGCTCGAGACCGTGCCAGTGAACTTAAATTTTCAAGAAATCGATGATTAATAATAAAGCAAAAGAAGAATAAAAATTCATCTGATGACATACCTGTTGCCGAATTACCGAATTGATTAATCACTGTGATGTTAAACATGTCACCTTTGTTTGCGCGAATCATCGGGCCGGGATACCTTTTCACACGTTGTGATCAAAGATTAACTTGAGGTGGTAAACTGGACGAGCAATGTGCGACGAAGGAGCAGATAAAACTTACTGTCCATTCACGGACCACACAGGACGAGTAAAACCATCGGGTGCCAAATTCACCTTCTTTAATTCGAAGGTGTATTCACGAATCACATTTCTCGGAGTTTCTGGTAATGCCTGAAAGGGTTCGAATATGTCTGTATTAATGGGCAAAGAAATATCACGTTCCAATAAGGGTGCCGCGGGCCCCCAAAAAACATATTGTATTATTAAATAAAGAAAGGTGAATATGTGCATGTTCTTCATTTATTTTGATTCTCTACGCTATGAAAATGAAATTACAGATTTTGTGTTTTAGAAATGATCACGAAAGAACCAGAAGCTCAAACCCGCGCCTTTTATAATGGGAACAAAAACAAATGATAAACATTGTATTTATGTCTAAAATACCTCGATCACTCACTAATCATTCCGTGCGTGTCTAAATGTTAGGCATTACCAATGATCACAACAAAAATAAGCCAAGGAGCACCTATTTTACTCCCAATGTAATAATGTCTCCGTATTTCATAATATTATTGGTTATAAATAGAACTGGACAGGAAATTAAAAAAATCGATGTAGAGTAAATAATTATGTTTCCCTAAATAAGAAATTTTGGTAATATCAAAGAAGAGATAAGCACACGACGTTACACTGAAATCTTCTCAAATAAACCTACACAAATGATCAGGGATATGCGCATGCCATATTTTTCATGATTTCTCTAATATAAATCGAGCAATGCTAATCTTCGACCCATAAATGCCATTCCCAATATTGCTAGACCAAAGGTAATTTGGTTAATTAATCTAGTGCTATAAATAAAACGCTACGGGGATCTACAGAAACTTCGGGAATGACATGGTATACTGAACTGATCCCTTGAGACACTAATTAATTAAATCTATTTCAGGGGTAATGTATTGGTGGTACTGACTTTGTGAACAATATCTCCTTGTCCGGTATTGGTTTCAAGATTTGCGATCGAAAGCTCGGGTATACCGTAGGATTTTAACGTCCTTAGCCATATTGACGCCATAATTCTATATTAATGCTAACCTCAATGCTATATTTTCTATATTTATTCTAAACCAGCCTTTATGTATCAACGCTATATAGCATTCTTTAAGCGAGTGTATTAAAAATAAGAGACTAACTAAGGATTTTTCAGGATCTTGAAATAGAAATATCCCTCGAGCTCAGGAGAGGTCATTGATCTTAACAAATCTACTGATTCTTTGAACATTAGATTCAACTAATCTAACCATATACATATGAATTGTTGTTTGATATTATTTTTTCACGATTTGCAACGGTAGCAAGTATCCGCCACATAAACATTATATAATAACGATTGCATTCGTACACAGAGTTTTGTGGGATTGAGTGAATTTAATAGAATTACAAAAGATGGTTAACGAATTTCTTTATTGGTGTCACGAAATCTACAGTGTGAATTCCTCTTGATCATATAAGGATAGACACCTTCTTGATTTGTGTATATTATTATTTATTTTAATTTATCTTTTTGTTCTAGTACAACGAAGAAAAGGCAATCGAAGCATAAAAACATTCTCAATATCTTGATCTTTGCAACTAGGAATTTGTAAAGTTATCATTTTGCTTTATCATAGTTAATGCTAAAAATTTTACTAACTTTTTCTTTGCGAATCATTTATATCTATATTGAACTATGCTATAGTATACTATTTATAATATTGAAACAATATCGGGTAAATATTATGAAAAATATATATCAATATAAAGAAAAATAAAAATACAGTTCCAAATATATCAAGACAAATAAATCTATTTTGTCAATTTAGCTAAATCGATATTTATAAGAAATATACAGTATATACAACTATTTAAAAAAAGACCTAATCAAGTACTGATTATGAACATATAATTTTACACTTAATTTATAATTGAAGAAATAAATATAATAATTAAAACTGAGAAGCTAGTAGACAAAAAAGAAATTAAAAATCGTAAAAAGAAAATATAATCATTTTCTACAAAAAAAAAAAAAAAAAAAAAGATATAATATTAATAAAAAAAATAATTTGTGCAATTTTAAACAACTCAAAAAGAAGTATTATTACAATCAAATTAATTAAAGATAGATATCTAGAAAAATATTAATATAAGATTTAAAAAAGATTAAAAAACAGTTTACGTACACTTCAAAAAAAAATATAGAGATATATTATATAATAAGAAAATATACACTTGTTGAAAAATATTTATTCAGCATAATGCCTCTCATATAATATTCAACAAAAAATAAATAATTTGACATATTAATATATAATTTAACATAAATAAATCATCAATCAATTTCTATTTTATAATTTGACATTATTTGTCATATAATTTACACCATTTTTATTATATATTTCATTAAAATTTTCCTCTAAAAAATCATTAGACACTTATCAAAGTTTCAATTTGATCAAAATTCATATATTTATCAAATTTTTAATTATATATTATATTTGTAATTTAAAGGAATAAATTATAGCTAAATATTTGTGAGAATCTTGCTGATTTAAGATTCTTTATCTAAATAGAATAAATTGATCAAAAATATTATAAATAGAAATTATGCATTCATATCTAATTAGATAAAATTCGATACTTTACAATTCACATTTGCATCATTTTAAAATCTGAAATAAAATCTATTTTCTATCAAATTAATCAATTTGTACCATCAAATAAAGACCAATTGATATTCAATAACATTATTTGGAAAGTTTACCAAATATGTAAAGAAGAATTGAACTTGTCTTAGATATAAATCACACTTCCATTATTATTCATAAATCTAACCAATATAAATGAACTCTTAATATTTTATGAAAACATAATAGAATCAAATATTTTATTTCTAATTTAACATCTACTATATGGATCTGCTTTATTTCAAATAATTATTGAATTTTTATTATCTTTTGTAAATAGTCTCCAAAAGTCCATAGTTTTATAAGATATCTTATAGTATTTGACTAATAGATCTAATATTTCAGTAGATACTATATCTCTAAATTTGATTTTTTCAGATACAAAAGTTTATCTGAAAAATATTTGGATCTATCAATGATTGTTTCATGAATATTATATATGTTGTTTAAAAATTAATATAATTTAACAACTGAAAACTAATTGAATTCAAAAATTGAGTTAATATTTGATCAATTATTTAAAATTTTAGTCCCTAATTATTAGAATAGAACATAGTTAAATTAATAATTTGACAATTATTCATCAATATTAGTAATAATCTGAGTTTAATATTTCAGTGACTATTTATAAGAAACCTAGATTAAAAATTTATTAGAATCATATTTCTAAATATTAAATTTATTTAAAAACCTATCTCAAATGAAAAGTATCAAAATATATATAATGATCTATAATTGTATATGTATTCATATAAATATAATGAAAGATAAATATTTAGAGTAATTTTTTCTTTCATATATTTTAATTCTATTAGTTTAATTATTGCAACTAATCTTTTATAAGTTTTATTTAACAAATTTAAACTTAAAATTCAATATACTAATATTTGATAAATCTTGATAAAATTTGTTAAATTTTAGTTGGAAAATATTTCTATAGAATAGTAGTTATATACTATATATTATGAAAAAAAATTTTTACTAATTAGTATTAAAGTTCAAAAAACCTTCATTACTATTTATTTTTCTCATAATTCAGTCAATATCTAATAGTACTTAAAACATTTCTATCATTAATTGTATTTTATTCAATGTATTATTTATCAGTATCTCTTCTTTGATTCATATTTATTTAACAAGTCATTTATCAATATTTAAGAAAAGACAATATATAAAATTGATAACTTAATACTGAATTGGATCAAAATATTATTCTTGTAACAATGATATAATACTAGTATCAAAATATATTTATACATTTTTTATATTGCAGGAATATTACATAAAATTAAAATCAAGACTGCTCAAATTATTTTTTTCTCTTCATTTTTAGCAATTGAATTGAGCTTTATTTCTGTATTAATTTGTCAATAATTGAAAAAAGATAATGATTTATTTGATATAAATTGGTTTACTAGGACCTGATAATATGCCAAGAAATAATATAATTTGTGCTTAAATCTTATTTTATGTGACAAATTTGTAATAGTCACATATATAACTCCAGTACTATATACTTTTATTTCAAATAATTGAAATCAATTAATATTTAGCACCAATTTCAAATGCAAATTAGCTATCTCTTTACTAAAAAATAATTTTGAATTTTCATCTTTAAAAGTTTTTCAAATATTACTATTATAGATATCACATAGAAGTTCATCAATATTTGATGATCTATTCAATGCTCAAGATTAGATTCAAAATTCTGATTTTGATATATTTATAACAATTGATATTGAATAGTAGAATATAAAAAAACCAAATTTAACTGATTAATTATATTTCTATTTAATAATTCTAATTGTATAGACAATAAAAAATCATAAGTTTTTCTTTATTTTATTGCCAAATATAAAAAATCAATATAAACACATTTTATAATCAATAGTTGATTATTTTTTTTGAAAATCAAGAACATTATTCTGTCTGTATAATTTGTGATATCTTTGATAT